CTCAGCATGACCAGTAAACTTCTGCCATAAGACACAAGCACCCCATCCCACACCCTAAAATGGTTCCAGAGATGGACAAACTCCTATAAACAGGACTTAAGGATGATAACAAGATTACTAAATAATCCCTTTCCATTCAACTCTGTGCTCAGAATCTTATCATGTAAGTGCTTGAATGTTCACAAAAAAGAGAGGAGAATTTCAAGACGCCAAGGGAATAATACTAGTGCACAGAAGCACTTACTATCTATACTTGAAATTGTACCTGGTATGGTGAATCTTCTCCAGTAATTACAGACCCATGTTTATACATGTCCTATATGTGCCCTTATACACCTGTCTTCACCTATATGAACATATATATATGGGTACATGTGTCCACACACATAAAACACACATCAATTTTAAAATGTTCTGTGAAGGCAGCAGTAGAAAGGCACTAAACTAGCGATTAGAAGTCCTTGTATGTGACCCTATGTGAGTAACTTAGCCCATATCTCTCTACTTCCATTTATCTTCAAACCTGAAGAGCCACACATGTTCCCACATTCTTCCAAGGACTTTTAAAGACAGGTGATTTATTCAACACACATTAAGCTCATATATGAAAACTCCTCAGAATATTCTGTTTCCATGGTGTCAATTACTGTTTTATTGCTATGATTCTCATGGTCAGGAGTAACATTTGCATTTGTGTTAGGCATCAGATGGAACACTAAGTTTTTTCAATGCTACCATCCTCACCCAACACTGATCACACTTCTGGTGAATAACCTGATTAATAACCTACTTCCTGAGGTTGTTGTAAGGATTAAAGGTTGTTGTACTACAGTCAAAACACAGAGATTCCACTTCAGTCTCCACTTCAGGAACTTGGAAGTCACCACTCCATCCTAGGTAAAAAAGCTGCATAGAATGAAAAGTCAACAACTCTTCTTGGATCCTTAAGGAGGACGACATAGGGCAAACCACCACCCCCAAGACTGGGGAAAAGATAGAAAAACACAGGGGTTGCCACTTTCCAGGGCAGAGACTCATGGGTGGAAACCACTATAGGAATCTGCTGGGGTTGGGAAACCTAAACTAGAATCGATGAATTACTGGAGGCTCAGCGTGGACCAGTCTGGGAGCTACATGCTCCATAGGAACCCAGTAAAGGAGCCTCCCCCTACCCCAATAGTCTGAGATTTATGTACTGGAGCTCAACTAGATTCCCATGGTAAGTTTCAGAGAAAAATCCCATCATGATTCCAGCGGGGAGCAAAACAGGAACCATTTTTAAGCAGACCAGAGCACCTGTTCTTCACAAGGCCTGCACTCAGAGAAACTAGTTAACCAGCACCTAGCCTGCTGGGGTTTTCCCAGAGACTAACCTGGAGGGAGAGAAACACCCAGCTCCTGTCAGCCACAGTCATCCTGTCCCATCTAAGGGCGGAAAAAAAAAACTGAGAAACTCTTGAGAAGTTCATAGTCCAGAGACAACAACTCACTAAACACATTCCCATAGTGTCTGGCATCCTAGAAGATGCAGGAACTGTTAACACACTCATAAATATAAGCTTCAGAACACAAGGATTCTTGCCTGCTTCTATTCTGCTGTCCCTCCATTCCTGCCTAGCAAAAGCACCAGGACTGACCCTCCCTCCCTTCTTACCTGCCTCCCTCCCTCCCTCCCTTCCTTCCTCCACCTTCCCAGCCAGGTGGAGAGTTTGGTGTCTCTCCAAAGGACACAGGGAAGGACACAGAGCAGAAAGGAAAAGGGCTGGAGGTAGCAGAAAGCCCAAGACCTGTTCCTCAATGACACCTTCACTGCTGTCCACTACTGCCCCACCAGCCCGCAGCCTGCTAGAAATAGGCGGTCAGAGGTGGGACTCCATGGTTAAGAGTCAATGTCTCAGGAACACTATCACCTCGCCCCAGGCTCCACCCTACTCCACACTCTCACCTCAGTGGCCTTTTTTTGTCCCCTAACTCAGCCACTTCTCTGGTAAAGGGCTGGATGCCCTGCATTGAATAAACACAAACCTAAATGGAAATAAAATGAAACAACATACTTACCACCTAGTAGATGATCATTACAAAATTAAGGAATGAAAAATCCATCTGGTATTTAGGACAAAGGGAGGAACACATCCGGGGTTTAGGAAGACAGAGGAAGAAGAGAAGGGCATAAGGAACCTGTGGCAGCCACCTACACAACAGACTCTGACACAGCACTTTACAGACCAACCTTCTGAAGCTGGTATTGTTACTGTCTCCTTTCTAAATGTGGAAACTGACATCCAACAGGGGTGAATGACCTATTGTCAGAGGAGGAAGTCGGAGGTCCTTGACAGGCCAAGGCCACTGGGTGGCTTTCCAGCTAGATCCAGGCAATTAGAGGCTTCCCACCACTGTCTCTCCTTGGAATGTTCCATCTGCCCTCCTTCCCACAGACACAGCCACTTCCAAATGAAGGAACAGAAGAAGAGCTGAGGACAAAGCAGAAGCTGACACCCTGCAACCCAACCCCCACCCCACCCCACCACCACCACCAAGTGGGATGTGTGTGACATTCCTCAGGCACTTCTGGCTGCCCTAAATCTAAGGAAAAGAAAAAAAATAGTTAACTTATAGAGATTATAATCCTGCAAGACATGAGTCTCCCTCAGTTTATAAATGTTTTAGTGTTTCACAAGAACAAAACATTTTATCAATAACCTAGCTTCCAGAAGAAAACAGAGACACTTATATGTCCTTATAACCTGCAGCCCATTGAAAGAACCTTGAAGGGAAAGGAGGGTCATGTTCCTCCAGGAAGCTCCCAACTGTTTAATGCTAATATCCTGCTAGAGAGAAAAGCCACCTTAGCTTGACAATGGCCAGGTCTCCAGTATTTGTAGGTCCTCTTTAGCACATGAAAATTCTTTTGAAAGTCTCCCTTTTCCTTACCTCCCCCAAATACCAAGTGTATATTCACCACCCTTCACAACCCAGGGGGACAGCAGCTCCTCCTGCCCATGAGTCCTGTCTCCGTGCCTTAATAAAACTACCATTTTGTAGGAAAGATGTCTCAAGATTTATTTCTTGGTTTTGGGCTCAGGACCTCATCCCACCACACCTCACTTTTATTCCAAACTACATCACAAGCACTCACTCTGAGAGAGTAAGGAATTAGTCAGACTATCTGGACTGACCTGAGTACAGTCTCTGTATCAACTTTTAATTCTGGCAGTGGATGCAGAGATCTACTGGTCTGGGTGCCACTTAAGACAGCCTCCTAGGTAAGTAACTCCCCTTGCTCATTACACCTGCCACCAACTAATCTGGAGGGGTCAACCTCTTTCTTGAGTCTCTCCTTGCTCTCCATTTACAAGGGACGGTTTGCAAACCAACATTCACTGAGACACCAGAGCAGCTCTCCTAATTCCATCCAGCTTTGCTCCCTCTAGCAGCAAAAATGAATGAAGACAGAGGGGGATTCCTGGGGACCACAGTCCCTGCTCCTCTAGAAAGAGAGAAGCGCTAACAACTTGCTTTCCCTGGCTCGCTCTCCATCCCACAGCTTGCCACAAACCCTGGGTCCTTCAAAATGTCCTGGTCCAACCTACTCCATTTTTAACCTTGAAATAAAAATGCCAGTTTTCTTGCCAGCAAAAGTGGGTTTACTCCTAAAAAGCTGAGGCTAGCATTATGCATTACAACACTTCTATAAAGGAATGGGTGGGGTGGCTATTATACACACAGAGTTCATTGGAGTAAACTAGGAGTGCTAAGCATAGGTTCTTTCATTGGCTGATCTGTGACGGTCTCCCATTGCCTGAACTGCTGCCCTGGAGATGGAAATCCTTTCTAACTCCAACTGGAATAGTAAAGTAGCATTTATATGTTTTTGGAGTAGCGTTGTTGGGTTCCAGAGCTGCTGGCCAAGAAAGAATTCTCCAAATGTGTTTGGTGCAAAAAAAAAAAAAAAAAAAAAAGGTGATTTTATTAATGCAAGGGGACAGGACCCATAGGCAGAAAGAGCTGAGGCCTCTAGCTGCCCCAAGATTGTGAGGGGCAACTGATTATATACTTTGGGGTTGGGGAAGAAAAGATAAGGGAAGTTCCAGAAGGATTTTCATATGCCAAAGAAGACTCAAAGAATACCAGAGGCCTTGCTATCTTCACACCAAGGTATTTTTCCCGATAGAAAGGTTATAAGGCAGTTGGGAGCTCCCTGAAGGAATCTTATACTCCGCCGCCGCAAGTATTTGTTAATGGATGGCAGGTTTTGAGGACATTTATTTTATCTATTTCCTTCTCCCTTTGTTTCTCACATCAGTATGGGCAAGCATGGTGATCTTTCCCTGCAGACTCAGCATTTGAGGACAGTGGTAGGTAGGGCATTAGCACCTGCCCTGCTGACCTCGTGGCTCCATTTTCGAAAGGTCTCCTCTTATTAATTTGCACACAATCATTGTGGAAGGAGTTTTGAGGTCAGGAGAGCCCTGAAAGCTGACTTAGGGGAACTGGATTGTGCTCTCCCTCTGGCTCAATATTTAATTTGTGACTTTGTGTAAATCTGTAACCTCTCTACACTTATTCATCTACCTGCTAAGAACTGGAAATGAAGTAGAATGCATAAAATACTTTGAATATCATGAGAGAAAGACTAAATTTCATTGAGCACTGTATAGCCACAAAAAAGGAAATATTGAGTACTATTATCCATGGTATAGATGATATATTCAATCTTCAAGGATGTTCCTTCATTCATAAACCTCAGAGGTTTCCTGAATGAGCCCTCATGTACTATGACCCCCCCTGAGGGGAGAGATTACATCTTGCTTTTATTTGTGTCCCCAGTGCCTCACTCATTGCAGACACTCAATATTTAATGAATGAAGGGGTGAAGGAGTATGTGAGATGATGATGATGATGATGGTGATGATTATACGGTTGTCATTACAAGCATTAAATTGGATATGCTAAAAGATGGGAAGTCCCCAAGGTCCAGGCTGGATTTGATTCCCTAGATGTCACTTCTCCCCCATGCTCCCCTCTACTCTAAACAGTTTCCTCATTGCATTTTTCACCTCATTATTCCTCAACGTGTAGATCAGAGGGTTCAGCAAAGGTGGCATGACAATGTTAAAGAGGATGACAAGTTTGTCGGCAGCCAGGGTGGTGGAGGGCCGAATGTACATGAACATGGGGGGCAGAAGGACCAAAAGAACAGTGACGATGTGTGAGCCACATGTAGAGAGAGCCTTACGCCGACCCTCAGATGACTGGCTTCTCAGGTTCAGTAAGATGACCACATAGGAGATGATAAGGATGATAAAGGACACGAGAGATATCATGCCACTGTTGGCCACCACAATGAGCCCCACCACATAAGTGTCTGCACAGGCCAGCTTCAGCAAGGGATGAACATCACAGAAGAAGTTGTCAATCTCATTAGGCCCACAAAAGGGAAGCTGGACTGTGAGGAGGGTCTGTAGGATGGAATGCAGGAAGCCACCCACCCAGGAGGCCCCTGCCAGCAGACCACACTTCCACCGATCCATGATAGCCGTGTAGTGCAGGGGCCTACAGATGGCCACATAGCGGTCATAGGCCATAGCTGTGAGGAGAAAGATCTCAGTGCCACCAAAGAAGTGGGCAGAAAAGAGCTGGGTCATGCAGCCATTGAAGGAGATGGTCTTTCGCTCCATGAAAGTGTCAGCAATCATCTTGGGTGTGGTAGCAGATGGATAGCACATGTCCGCAAAAGACAGGTGGCTGAGGAAGAAATACATGGGAGCATTCAGGGTCTTGCTGGCATTAATGGTGATGACGACCAGAAGGTTCCCCAGGACAGTGAGCACGTGGAAGAGGGAGAAGACCACAAAGCACACAAGCTGCATCTCCCTGCTCTGGAAAAGGCCGAACAACACAAATTCAGTCACGTTGTTCTTGGTTCCCATGGCTTCTCTGCCCTGAGCACTGACAATGTAGTTAGCTCTGCAAGGACACAAATTATATGACATTAGAAAGTTTCCCAAATCGGGGAAATCAGAATACTGCATTCAGGACTAATAATGATTCTAACACCAAACTACAATTGAGGGAGAACAGTTCCCCACACCTAAAGCAATTCTCAGAAACCAACAAGTTGTCCTACAATTCAACTCAGTTCTGACACTATGTACCTGGAGACAGTTTCAGATCCTACCGGATAAAAGTTCAGCCCACAAGACTGGCCGCTGTTCTGTACTCCAAATGCCAGTTGCAACCCAGATCATCAACTGTGCTTCTGATAATGTCTATTGATCAAAGATTCCAGTGACCCCCTTCCTTCTGTTTGATTCATTTGCTAGAGCAGCTCACAGAATTCAGAAGAAGATTTATTATAAGAAGATATAACTCAGGAATAGCCAGATGGAAGAGATGCATAAGGCAAGATTTGTGGTAAGGGCATGGAATTTACATGCTCTCTGACAGCATCACTCTCCCCAGATCACCACCTTTTCACCAACCTGGACTCTCTCTAAACCTCAGCCTTTGGATTTTTTATGGAGCCTTCAGTACTTAGGCATGAGTGATTAAATCATTGGCCATTGGCCATCATTCAACCATTAGTCCCTCTTTCCTCCCCCAGGTTCCAGAGGTAGAACCCTGCAATCACAAGGTTGGTTCCCCATTCCCTCATCCCCCAACCTCACATGACCTAGGGGCATATCAAAGGTCACCTCATTAACATAATGAAAGACACCCTGATCTCTCTCACCACTCAGGAAATTCAAGGGTTTTAGAAGCCATGTGCTACAAATTGGGACAAAGACCAAGTACATACTTCTAATCATAAACCACTACATCACAAGGTCCCAGCTATGCTAAATACTAACTGTGGACTTTGGCAACTCAATTAACTCTTCAGTACCTCAGTTTCAAATTTTAAAAAAACAGGCAGATTTCCAGTTCAAGAAGGTGACACAGAAAGACTGGTCCCACCTCCTCCACAGAACACACCAAATTATACTTAGAACAATTCCAGAAAAACTGAGGGCTGACTCAACAGCTCCTGAACAATCAAATATAGAATGGCAAGAGACACCAAGAGAGACAGAGACATAGTACAAAGGGAACCCCACCTTTGATGCTCTAAGTGGGAGTAGGGAGGTATAGTACCTAAGGCCTGAGAACAGATCGCTCTATCTTTGGTCACAGAAAAAAGGCCTTGGTTTAAAAGAGCAACTAGTGTTAAAGGCAGGTACTTAGGTTCTAACAGGATATCTGGAGGTCAGCAAAGAAGTTCTGGCAAGATAGTGGGAAAGTCAGAGGCCCATCCTCCTGGTAGTGTTCCAAAACAAAGCCACAAGAAGCCAGGTCAAACCAGTCTGGCTCAAGATAAAAATTTTCTCAGATCAACAAAAGGTGAAAGAGTTTATCATCACTAAACTAGCGAGGGCGGGGCAAGATGGCGGAAGAGTAGGGTCCTCAAGTCACCTGTCCCCACCAAATTACCTAGATAACCTTCAAATCATCCTGAATATCTACGAATTCGGCCTGAGATGTAAAGAGAGACCAGCTGGAAGGCTACAGTGAGAAGAGTTCGCGCTTCTATCAGGTAGGAAGACGGGGAAAAAGAAATAAAGACACAAAAGGCCTCCGAGGGGGAGGGGCCCCGCGAGGAGCCGGGCTGAGGCCGGGGCGAGTGTCCCCAGGACGGGAGAGCCCCGTCCCGGAGGAGCAGGAGCTGCACCAACCTTCCCGGGGGAAAGGGGCTCGCAGGGAGTTGGAGCAGGACCCCAGGAGGACGGGGATGCCCTCAGGCTCCCTGGGACAGTAACAGACACCTGCGCCCCAGGAGAGTGCGCGGAGCTCCGTGAAGGGCTGCAGTGCGCACGCATTGACCCGGGAACAGCCCGGAGGGGCTCGGGCGGCGGCTCCGCGGAGGGGGCTGCGGGGCGGGAGCGCGAATCCCACAGCGCAGGCCCCGGAGCACAGGGCACCGGGACACAGCCCAGGATCCGGCCTCCCCCGGGACAGGCAGAGGCCGGGAGGGCCCAGGACAGCAAGGACGCTCCTGCCCCGAGCTGAGCAGATCAGCGGCCCCGCCCCGGAGCCTCCAGGCCCTGCAGACTGAGAGCTCCGAGTTACTGTTCAGGTCCTCCCTTTCCAGGGCTCCAGAGCTGGCCGCCACCACTGGGGTTGTTCTTCCTGGGGCCTCGCGGGGTAAAGAACCCCCACTGAGCCTCACAGTGGCCTCAACGGATAAACAGGATAAACATCACTCACTGAGCCCTGCACCAGGCAGGGGGCTGAGCAGCTCCCCCAAGTGCTAACACCTGAAAATCAGCACATTAGGCCCCTCCCCCAGAAGACCAGCTAGACGGACAGGGGAAAAACAAATTATTGACCAAGCAGCACTGGAAAGTTCCAGAGGAAGTCGAGGGATTTACAGTATACAGAAACAGAGGATACGCCCCCTTGTTTTTTTGTTTTTTGATTTCTGTTTGCTTCCCCCACCCCTTTTTTTTATTTCTTTTTTCTTTTTTTCTTTTTTTTCTTCTTTTTTCTCTTTTTTTCCTTCTTTCTTCTTTTCTCTTTTTTTCTTTTTTTCTTTTTCTTTTCTTCTTTCTCTTCTCTCTTTTTCTCCTTTTCCCAATACAACTTGTTTTTGGCCGCTCTGCACTGAGCAAAATGACAAGAAAGAAAACATCACCTCAAAAGAAAGAATCAGAAACAGTCCTCTCTCCCACAGAGTTACAAAATTTGGATTACAATTCAATGTCAGAAAGCCAATTCAGAAGCACTATTATAAAGCTACTGGTGCCTCTAGAAAAAACCATAAAGGACTCAAGAGACTTCATGACTGCAGAATTTAGATCTAATCAGGCAGAAATTAAAAATCAATTAAATCAGATGCAATCCAAACTAGAGGTCCTAACGACGAAGGTTAATGAGGTGGAAGAACGAGTGAGTGACATAGAAGACAAGTTGATGGCAAAGAAGGAAACTGAGGAAAAAAAAGACAGACAAAAGATCATGAGGATAGAAGAGGGAAATAAGTGACAGCCTGAGGAAGAAAAATCTACATTTAATTGGGGTTCCCGAGGGCGCCGAAAGGGACAGAGGTCCAAAATAAGTATTTGAACAAATCACAGCTGAAAACTTTCTTAATCTGGGAAGGGAAACAGGCATTCAGATCCAGGAAATAGAGAGATCACCCCCTAAAATCAATAAACACTGTTCAACACCTCGACATTTAATAGTGAAGCTTGCAAATTCCAAAGATAAAGAGAAGATCCTTAAAGCAGCAAGAGACAAAGATCCCTAAATTATATGGGGAGAACTATTAGATTAACAGCAGACCTCTCCACGGAGACCTGGCAGGCCAGAAAGGGCTGGCAGGATATAATCAGGGTCCTAAATGAGAAAAACAGGCAGCCAAGAATACGTTATCCAGCAAGGCTCTCATTCAGAATAGAAGGAGAAATAAAGAGCTTCCAAGACAGGCAGGAACTGAAAGAATATGTGACCACCAAACCAGCTCTGCAAGAAATTTTAAGGGGGACTCTTAAAATTCCCCTTTAGGAAGAAGTTTAGTGGAACAATCCACAAAAACAAGGACTGAATAGATATCATGATGACACTAACTCATATCTCTCAATAGTAACTCTGAACGAGAACGGGCTTAATGACCCCATCAAAAGGCTAGGGTTTCAGACTGGATAAAAAAGCAGGACCCATCTATTTCCTGTCTACAAGACACTCATTTTAATATTTTTAATTTTTATTTATGATAGTCACACAGAGAGAGAGAGAGAGAGGCAGAGACACAGGCAGAGGGAGAAGCAGGCTCCATGCACCGGGAGCGCAACGTGGGATCGATCCCAAGTCTCCAGGATCGTGCCCTGGGCCAAAGGCAGGCGCCAAACCCCTGCGCCACCCAGGGTTCCCAAGAGACTCATTTTAGACAGAAGGACACCTACAACCTGAAAATAAAAGGTTGGAGAAACATTTACCATTCAAATGGTCCTCAAAAGAAAGCAGGGGTAGCCATCCTTATATCAGATAAACTAAAATTACCCCGAAGACTGTAGTGACAGATGAAGAGGGACACTATCTCATACTTAAAGGATCTATCCAACAAGAGGACTTAACAATCTTCAATATATATGCCCCAAATGGGGGAGCTGCCAAATATTTAAATAAATTAGTAACCAAAGTGAAGAAATACTTAGATAATAATACACTTATACTCGGTGACTTCAATCTAGCTTTTTCTATACTCAGTAGGTCTTTAAGCACAACATCTCCAAAGAAACGAGAGCTTTAAATGATACACTGGACCAGATGGATTTCACAGATATCTACAGAACTTTACATCCAAACTCAACAGAATACACATTCTTCTCAAGTGCACATGGAACTTTGTCCAGAAGAGACCACATACTGGGTCACAAATCAGGTCTGAACCGATACCAAAAGATTGGGATCATCCCCTGCATATTCTCAGACCATAATACCTTGAAATTAGAACTAAATCACAAGAAGAAGTTTGGAAGGACCTCAAACACGTGGAGGTTAAGGACCATCCTGCTAAAAGATAAAAGGGCCAAACAGGAAATTAAGGAAGAATTAAAAAGATTCATGGAGGGGATCCCTGGGTGGCGTAGCGGTTTGGCGCCTGCCTTTGGCCCGGGGCGCGATCCTGGAGACCCGGGGTCGAATCCCACGTTAGGCTCCCTGCATGGAGCCTGCTTCTCCCTCTGCCTCTCTGTCTCTCTCTGTGTGACTATCATGAATAAATAAAAAATCTTTAAAAAAAATATTCATGGAAACTAATGAGAATGAAAATACAACCGTTCAAAATCTTTGGGATGCAGCAAAAGCAGTCCTGAGGGGGAAATACATTGCAATACAAGCATCCATTCAAAAACTGGAAAGAACTCAAATACAAAAGCTAACCTTACACATAAAGGAGCTAGAGAAAAAACAGGAAATAGATCCTACAC